ACGGCCACCACCTCGCCAGCGACGGTCACCACCTCGCCAGCGACGGTCACCACTTCGCCAGCGACGGCCACCACCTCGCCAGTAACGGTCACCACCTCGCCAGCGACGGTCACCACCTTGGTAGCGACGGTCACCACTTCGCCAGCGACGGCCACCACCTCGCCAGTAACGGTCACCACCTCGCCAGCGACGGTCACCACCTTGGTAGCGACGGTCACCACTTCGCCAGCGACGGCCACCACCTCGCCAGCGACGGTCACCACCTCGCCAGCGACGGCCACCACCTCGCCAGCGACGGTCACCACTTACGGGTGCGAATATCTTGTTGATGGACTCGGGCGTCTGCGAGAGACGGCTCGCGAGCGCGTCATCGTCATCGTTATCGTCGTCGACGACGTGCTGCGTGACGAGCATGCGGAGGCTGCGCGCGCGGTCGCTGCGGTCAACGAGCTCGATGGCCCTGTCCAGGTCCTGCTGGCTGAGTATCGGCACGATCACCTGTCATGTTCAAATCATCATCATCATTACATCATCATCATCGTCGGCGTCGTCATCATCATTTCATTATTATTTAATTATCATTCTAGTTTTATTGTTTTATTATCTTCTTATTATTGATTTATTATCTGTTATTATTGGTTTATTATTTTATAGTTCTTATATTATTATTGATATTATTTTTGCATTATATTATTATTATTTGATTTTTTTATTACTAGTACATTATTATTACTGGCAATCCGTGAAGAATATTACATAATACTGATTTTCGAGAGAGTTAAAATTAATGTCCAATAGTTATTGTAGGGATAGAAATTAATTTTGACTTTTTAAAATTGATTAAACTAACTCACTACCTTCAAAAAGCAAATTTCTGCAGCAAAATGATGGACATCTACATTTATGGGGGAATTAAATAAAGTACCATGCTATCCTCTGCACACACTACCAAAACCTCGCAAGGTCACACGAATTAGTTTCCTAGAACTCTCAAGTAATAACAAGGAACAGCGAGACGCTGAGGTAATTTTCGCCAGCACCATACAAGCACCAAATCAGGGTTTAAATCTTCTCTTTCCAACCTCGATTTTCTTCAATTTACCCACATGCCCAGAATGCCGAGTTCATGCAGACATCTCTAAGGACAGATATGTATTTTGGGTGGTCTTACCTCACTGTTTGAAAGCGTGTACTGGAGCGCGACATGATCGAGGGTATAAGCAACCATGACCTTGTCCAGCAGCTCCTCGTAGACAACTGGTCGCTTCATCTGAATTATCCTGTGGGAGGAGGAGAGGCGGGTGAGACATCAAATAAACTTGAGAGCAGGCCGAACACAATATAAGTCACGGAGAACGGTCTCTGAGCGCTGCTGACAGATGTGTGCACAAGCAGTGTCAGGATGTGACAATCATTCCATACTGATATTGCACTAGTGTGAGAACTGAGCTAACAATGCGATGTGCAGTTCAGTGGCTGAGAATTCAACCCATCTTTTGATGATAAACCTCTAGGATAATTTACGTGTGACATGGCCATACCCAGGCTTCACACAATCAAGATTGTAAAAAAATTGGAAAGAAATCACTGGTTATAAACCAAACCTTTAACTGCCAAAAAACCGATATAACAATGAATTGTACTAAGAACAAAACCATCAACCATAACCATGATAAAGATTAAGATTTTGTCACAACTATTACCACTACTCGAAATTATTACAATGTGGCAATAACAGTGCTATATTATAACAAACCTCTTTTCAGATGCATACTCCAGCTTAATTCTGACATCATGCTACAACACAACAAAATATTATATTAGCAAGCAGAAATATATTATATCATAGTAATAAGTATTAGATAATTATCCCAATAATGTATGCAAACTATATCCTTTTTCGAAAATTATCAGCACATATGTGACCAGCTCCAGCAAAACCAGGATTAAGTAGGAAATTCTACAAATTGAGTTATGTGCATATCTGAATAGATCATTTAATTACCTTTAATTTATAAACTTTTTAAAACTTTTGATTTTAAGATGTGCACTCATGCATACATGGGAATAAAGATCGTCTATCTCTGTCTGCAAGCCTTTTAGGCACAAATATATTTATCAGTTAGAGATATGCTCGAGAGGTTTATTTACCTGTGACCTTATCCTGGCCAAGTGCCCGGACTTTCGGTAACTGATAGCGAGCCCATCTTTGATGGTCTCCAATACATCTTTCAATGCTGGGTCGTCTATCAAAAACATTAAGAAAAATTTGTTTAAAGACACCAACACACAGATCAGCAGTGGTATCGTGTGCTTAATTATATGCTCTATACAGATTACGTGTGTATGTGTAATACACACACTGTAATGCAAATATGTGTGTATATTGTACTTAATACCCAGTGATAACATTTTGATATCAGCACAAAGTTTTCAATAGCGAAGTATGGACTCCAGCTGAATCCTGTATGGTCTATGTTTGACTTGTAAATTAAAACATTAGACTGTATTTGGCCATGTGAGATTATTGTAACACTAACATTGATATGTTATTGCTACTTCCACACAAGTAATAGGCCTTGTTGCCCTATATTCTACCAGTGTGTACCAATGTATCACAAATATATATATAAACTAGAAAGGGCAGTTGTCGCCAACTACATGTATCCCCCGTGATCTAGTATGAATGAAATATCTCTGTAAGGACGTAGAAGGTAGGTAAAGTTAAATAAGTCACAAAGACAAAGGTTTGTTACACAACTCATCTGCCTGAGATGTGCAAGGGTGCAAGGGTGCATTGGTTGCCTTAGGGGTTTTGGTACACGACACACCTTCTCCCCAAGATGTGTGAGTATACGAAGTTTGCTCGCGCTAGGTCAATTAGGGGCCGAGTTATAGAGCGGAAGGAAAACATGATGAAGGTCAAGGTCAAGGTCAAGGTCAAATAAAGGTTGCAGTGACCTGGTTTCGGTACGCGACACACCTTCTCCCCAAGATGTGTAAGTATACGAAGTTTGCTCGT